CTGAAGGCATCTTATGGCTCTACTCTGAGCGCTGCGCAACCCATAAACGTTATTTTCATATTTATTCCCAAACCAAGCGTTCGGCACTCTCCGAAGCTCGTACTTATAAGAAAAAGGGGCATTTCGACTTTGACACTAACGCCCAACATGCCCAGTGATCTTTATGCTGTAGCAGGTTTAGTTTTTGTAACTTCCGTTACCTCAGATCCTTACTATCCGTTCAGATTTCTGTCTCATCCCGATGGGAACAGGAGAATCATCCGTATGTCCACAGGAAATAGGGGATCATCGTCTAAAGTAAACGCGTTTTAGGTCGCAGAATATATCGCAGACTGCCAGAGAGTATTGGAAAAATCAGGGTTGACGTTCAAGGTGAGGGTGGGTTATCATATTCAATCTAACTAATCTCGCTTTAGATGCAGTAAGATTATTTATTTACGATATGTCAAACTTCTGATAACGAACACATGTTTCAGCGGGTACGGCACTAATCTTGGTTTGTAGCAAGAGGTCATCATCCCTTTCTCTCTTGCTGAATAGTCTTGCTAGAGGGGCCTTGGAGCGAAGTGTCTCAAGCCATACATGATTGCCATACTGCAGTCCACGCCAGAGGTGCCCCTCGAGTTGCCACAGACATCCGCATTGGTACACGCGTAGATCGAGACACTCCGTGGGTGATGGCAACGATCATAAGGTGAAGCGTGTAGAAGAGATTTTAGCGAGAGACAGAGCAGCTGCATCCTGAGTCTTCGCATTTTGAATAGTGTATAGTTTTCCTCTGCTGCAATTTCCTTTATCCAGCTCAATTTAAACGTTGCTTTGGTCGTCACTTTCGCAGATGTGCAAGATGGGACAAGCGAAGTTCCGGGCTGGACGGGTGGAACCTTCGAACTGTCAGGTTCCCTCGGTGTGGCTGAAGCTGGGAGAGATCATGTAAATCTTGTCCATTTACAACAGGCGCCTCTCCTTCGTTTCTTGGTCTTTCTTCGTTGCACATTTCACTTTCTACATTCACCAGTGGACGCGGATAGTACAAATCCGCGAGCGATCAAGATTTCTTGAACAGAACAACTGTCTTCTATCAAATGGGCCTGTGTATGCGCTGGAAGTTGTGATTGGTTTTTTGAATTTGACCGTCGTCCCGGATCACACACTCATATCAAACCATCTCCCGCATCTCCGAACAACTCACTCACCCACGCACCGTTGGTTCTATCCACTTTTCCTGCTCTAAAAATCACAATGAACGTTATCGATATCTACCTTTGTTGAGCTTAATACCCTTCGCCATGGCCAATAAATCGTGTATTACCCAATAATAGTGGTACAATGAGCCTGATCGGACATATTATTCAGCTTCTTGTGTGCTCCCACTGCTGATCCTCTTCTACCTGTATGTAGATTTCTCGACATTCATCGACTCCTCCCTGAAGATCTCAGATGATGTCCGGATCAAACTGTTTTGACCTGCCGTCCATGATCCTACTATGACACCCAATACCGGCTTCTGGAAAGCCTCCCCCTCGATCTCTGCTTGCTCCGGTTTTCTGCGCTGGCTTTGTACTCACAATCAATTGTATCAGCATGTTCAGAGTCCCAGGGTACACATTTTGCCGCGAGCATCCATTACCATATGGACCGCCCAATGCACTGATTCGGAAGTTAGCTCAGAGTTGGCATCACATCGAGTGCGGGTGACGTCTTGGGCAATGTCCTAATTATTAGTGTAGAACGAAGTTGAATGTTGAAGAAAGTACGAAAGAGGAGTTGGGGGCTTAGTGTGTGAGCACCATTACGATATCTATTAATCCGTCTGACATATCCTCAATACTTTTGCAACCCGCGAAAAACGAACAGCTTCAGCGGAAATGGAACACGTGGAACAAACTCCGCTCCAATATACGGCTCTATTTCCTCTGGTGAAGGGTCCGGCAGCACAGAAGGAGGGAACGTGAACAGCATCACCCATGCATCCTTAGGGGTACATTGAGCGAACGGGAGTTTGATGTGCGAAATGCCCAGCGAGAATGTTTGCAGTCCTTGGAAAGAACCGCGCGTAATGCACATAGGCAGCTTGTAGGTTAATTAAATGCAGCTTCGCTGATACATTTGCACTGGAAGGGCGGGCATCTTTTGAAGGATACAGCAAAGAGTAGGGTGAGGTGTTGGACGGAAGCCAGGAAAGAACGTCCATGGACAGACTCTACGAAGGGCCACCATCGACGAGAGAAATCACCTAATAACGTCAAACTTCTCATGCTCCAAGCAAGCGGGGAATTTCCGTGGCCGACATCGGAGTTACACGCATTTTTGAGGCACCTTAAAAGAATTTCTAGACTCCCATAGCTGATTTCGAGGGACGATACGCCAAGGATCACTGGAGCTAGCAGACTGATATCAAACTCCTCAAGCTTAGCCAAATAAGTTGGAAAGGAGAAAGGTGATTGCAAAGGCCCCCGATACCCTCCTATTGACATCTTGTGCACGCGAGATGCGTAATCAAAAGCCAGATCATGTTGTTGATCGTTGTATTTTTTCTGCATACGCAGAGCCCGTACGAAAGCGACTAGGTGGCAAGCTTTTGGCAATAATACTGTGTCCAGAAGTTCAGGCAGCACAGTGCGCCTGACAGTTTTGGAGACCTGGCATAGTGAAAGGGCGGATGAGTATGGGTCTCGCGTGTAGGTGGCATATTCAGCAAAGGTTGGTTGTGCCGCATGCTCGAAAATGATTAAGGCGAGGTCAGTTGGAAGGTTGCTAAATCTAAATGGAATTGGAGTAGGAGGTTCCAAAACGTGTGAGGAGACGACGCTGGTTTGACTCCTTTAATACTTGCCTGCTGTGACGTGGAGTCACATGATTCAAGCCGTGACCCTCTACTATGCATACTCCCTTCTTCGTTGCACCTCTCACTTTCTACATTTACCAGTACAATTCCGTGATCGATCAAGATTTTCTGAACAGAACAACTGTATGTGCTAGAAGTTGGGTTTTTGAATTTGACTGTCGTCCTGTTCGTATCAAACCATCTCCCGCATCCCCAACCAACTTACTCCCCTGGACCTGTGTACGACACGCATGCACCGTTGGCTCTATCCGCTTTTCCTGCTTTAAAAAATCTCGATTAACGTTATCAACACCTACCTCTGTCGAGCTCAATACCCTTCGCCGTGGCCAACAAATCGTGCATCGCCCAATAATAGTAGTACAACAAGTCTTATCGGACGTATTATTTATCTTCTTGTGTGCTCCCACTGCTGATCCTTTCTCGAATTCTTGTTGTGAAGATTGCTTCAAAATTCTTGAAGGATCAACGTATCTGTAAACTCCGATTGTTACCTTTACAAGGTCTCGTTGTGCGCTTCATGATTCGCCTTCGCCTTCCACCTACCGTTCCTGATATCACCGTACATTCATTGATCCAGCGCGAATCAAGTAGCAACTGCATTCGCCCTTTGCTAGCATCAAGGAGACTATCACATGTATACGGGCGTAGAGCGGCTCTACAAGAGTATATTTCATTGTCGGAAAAAATATATAAACGTGCCTTGAAAGGCTTCTCTCTTGCGTCGCCATTTCGGCATCTTCCAAGAAATTTGGGACTTTTTGTTCGCAACCGAGCTAGCTCGGAGCCATGGTACTCAACTTTTTGCCAAGTTTCTTTTGGAGCCGCCATCAGATGGTAATTTCAAGTTGAGTTCGAGAACTTTAACTCAAGTTTTCGCCACTGACTGGTACTAAGCCATTTTAGACCTATATTAGTGCAGGTTTGAAATTTGAAGGGCCAGGAGTGGTTGAACGAGAGGCTGTTTATGACAAAGGCATAAAAAACACTGACGGAATGTTCGTACCAGTAAGCGTTATATGTATGCATCCCGGAATAAATTACGTAAATCACTGCAGCGGGGATCATCTACTTCGGAATGTTATCAGCGCACTACCACTCCACAATTTGTTTAGACCCATTCAATAATATAACCCTTTTGCACGGCGCAAGCTTATGTCCCCCATTCATATTCCGGGTCGCCGGTTGCGCTGCCATGGATCCAAGTCCCTGGTGCCGAAATTTATTCGGTTCTCTTATACTTAAATCAAGCGAGGTGTGTTTACTCCTTCATCCCCATCCACGCCTTCGATCTGAAGACTTATCATTGACGCTCAGGACGTAAAATGGGTTTTTTCTCCAAAGTGTCCAACTTTTTTTATGATGCTGGAACCATGTCTTGGGATGTCATCCTCACACTTCTCAACCTCGTAGAGAGGAAGCGTCGCATCGGCAATGTCACTCCCGAGGGCCACCCAGGCCACGGAGGGCACTGGCCCGAGTTTAGGCCTCCCCAGAAAGGCGACTCCCGCTGCTCGTGTCCCGGACTCAATGCGCTAGCCAACCATGGTAAGTGATTCTGCAACCTTTTGTGATGGGCCTCGGCTTGACGGCGTGAAAATGTAGGCATCATCTCGCGCAGTGGTCGTGACATATCATTCGTCGACCTTGATCGCCATGTCATGGGAACCTACAACATCAGTTCTACTTTATCCTCATTTGTTGCTCATTATGCTGCTCGCATGCTTAACAAAAGCTTCAGCAACGGTACTCTTGATTTAGAAGAACTCGACGTGCACAATGGTATTGAACACGACGCATCTCTCTTACGTGAGCAATTTGATGAGATTATTCTTGTATGTCGAATAACTTGTTTTCAGGCCTCGATGCTGCTTTCCAATCAGACCAATCGACGAAGCACGTACCTTACATCGAGGAGCTACTTTCGGCAGCTTCCGGCAAGGACAAGGACGGCAATGATGTTGTTATCATCAAGGATCTCTCCAAGTTGCTCGGCAAGCGTCGTGCAGTGTCGCGTGCAGTAAACAAGGAATTTAAGCTTAAAACTTTCCACAAGTTATTTGGTTGCGCAAAGTATTCGATTTAATCGTCCGTCTCCAAACGCAATACTTACCGTCATGTCAGTGCTTCGCTGTTACTCTCAACCATGGGAGGTCGTGTAGATGACCTGCACAGTTTCCTTCTTCATGAACAGCTTCCAGATGGCTGGGAGTCGCGCGTCCGCCAATCTCACGGACTGACCCTGATAAACTTCAACAAGCTAGCACTGACAATCGAGTGCGGTGTGCGCGAGAAGGATTGGGCGCAAGTGGCACAGGAGGCTGCAGAACAACATGACGCTATTCCTGTCTAAGTGAGCTTTTTCGCGAAGCGGCTATTCGGATACTGACACTCACCTGAATGTCACGACATGCTCTCACTTTATGATCACGTACGCACTACTGACGACGATCGGTTACGATTTTTATCTCCCATTGGATACATATTATGATGCTCTTGGTTACTTGTTTCACTAATTTTTGATGACATAAATTATGTGTTTCAATGAGACTGATAAAGACGGACCTTACTGCATGCCATCACATTCTTAAGAGTGCAGTAATCCACGGTCACTTGCGTCGACAAAACTTTAAGCACGTCTCACAACAATCCTTTTTTCTTTGGCCATTACTTTCTATTACATCCACTGCTGTATGTATTGAAATCTTAAGACCATCGGATAGTGTATTGTAGAGTGGTGAATGCATCAAAAATATGGCCTTTATCACTGCTTACCCTCGCTTGAGTCGGACCTAAAAATGGTATAATGCAAACGATAACAGTTGAACGTTGACTCGAACGTTGATTGATGAGGTCGAAGTTGCTCGCTCCCACCATCAGAATCAACGTTCTTTTGCTCAGCACGAGCTAACTGCTTCCTCTTTGCGACAGAGTAGGCACCAGGCATTTGAGTACTAGAAAGGGACCGTTGGTAGGAATAAAGGTGAAATATCTTGCTTTGCTCTACTAGAGCAACAGCACTAGTGTATCTCATATGTTCCAACCTCATTTGGCTAATCTCTGTGCTGCATAACGTTATTAACTCACTGATTGTGAAGTTTCATACAGGCATTGAACTGGCAGATCAGGAATATTATGACATTGCTACCTTTCCTAGTGGTAGATACGAGATCAGCCATACAACGCGGAAATATATCAAGCAGAATTGTGTCTAATTTAACAATTTATTGCAAGTGATGGTGGAAAACGCAAGTGGCGGACAAAGCTTTGGTGCACGTCTCAGGCCACATACCACCAAATTGGTGAAAGTATCAAGAAAGAACCCAACTTGCCTTATAGCGGTGTGCATTTACACTAGCTTGAAGCCTTGAACAGGGGAAGCCCGTCCTATGAGGCAAGCTGCCGACGACACCTTGCAGTAGTCACCGTAAGCAACAAACCAGTAAGTTACTTGCAGTAATCAAGATGGACGGGTGCGTACCACGGGGGGCCTTGCTCATGCATTTGAGTAATTTCACAGTATAAGAGTGGGTATAATCAGAATGAAGCTCCATCGAACACTGTGGCATCGTGAGCCGTCCTAGAGTTCTGCTATGGATTCACGGAGATTCCTTGTTTATTTTGTTGCATCTGTTCCAACTTCTGGCCATCATCGATGCATGGCCAGGTGACTACATAGTCTGCAGGCACAAGGTTGCCAGAATGTGCTTGTCGGGTTTCCAGTGACCCGCGTTCCGAGCGGAAGTGACAAGCCAGCGCTAGCTGCAGAGAGGAGAGTTACGAATAAGGGATTCTACATAACAGTCAGTATAAGAATGACGGAACCTTGATCATGAGTTGAGGCTGCGAGGCCAAGCTTGCCCATGCAAGTGCCGTCCCAAAAAGTGGTTGTTGGGTTACGGTCACTGAGTTTGATGCCTTTTTTATGTATAACCGGCAACGCGTTTGTGGCAAATAAACTAAACGCGCCTTTCCTGCCGACCGACCACTTTTTGTTTGCACAGCAACAAAAACGGCTTGCAGGCCTCTTTGCGCGCTATATAAGCCAGCGAGACACCCGTCTCTTTGGTCCACTTTTCCCGCTTCCTAGGCTTTACGATAGTGATATCAAAACACGCCAAGCATCCACCATCATAGCGCGTCATTGTGACCAGATAGACCACGCGAATTCAATTATGCACCTGCGCAATCGCGACATGCGCGTACAATCAGTCCACCACTCTCAGCGAATGCATCGTCGTACTACATTCACGACAACTGCCCAGCAGCAACCAAGTTAAACGTTGTGACACGTCTTTCCATCGAGGGTAAAGCGAAGCAGGGGTCAAGATGGCATTGCATTAGAGTATCTCAAGGTAATGTGTTGTTTATCGCAGTCAACTAAAACGAATGAGCTAAAGATCAGTCAATAGCTTCTCAATACCTATGGATGGGCTGTTTCTTCCCTGGCTCTACATTACCATTATTTCCTGTGAAGAGTTCATTCTTAGTTTTCCTTTCCTCCACATTTACCATCACCATCACAGAGGGAAACCTGAAGATGTTGAGCTCGGAAGTTCATCCAACCGACAGCAACTCTGTTCCTTACAATTTTTCCTCTACAAACCTCACCACTACTGAACAACACTGCACGCGCTCTCAATCTACCGGCCCGCTCTCAAAAATCTTATCTCTCTGTTTTGGTCTACCAACGTCTAGCATGAGTCCGGCCTCTCGTGCATCCTCTTCTACATCGACATCTCACACTACAATCCCGCCTCTGGACGACAAGTACACTGGTCACATCCTTGTCAGCGGGTACAACATTTCATACGTCCTGCCCAAAGAATTTCCACCAAGATTTGGTGAAGACAGTGCGATCAGGGTTTCTACATTCTCTGCCGCAAAAATGCGACGAAGCTCCATAGGAGAGCGTAACAACAT